CCTGTTTCATAACAGAAGGTCATATTTTGATTTGAAACCCCATAACATTTTCCTGAGATGTTGATTTATGACAATTTGTCAATTAGTCAGACTTAAGTGATAATTACAAAATATTATCATATTTCCATAAGGGTGTTACATTTGATCACTAAATGAATGTCAGCCATTTTTAAAGACCAAAGAGAGGGTGTGGCCATGGTGAAACGTCCAATCATTTGGTATCTCTGGAAAGCCCTGAATGTGCTCTGTACAGGACATCCAGATTTAAAACTGTGACATGTAACGTCTCAGAGAAGCTAAAACATAATGTCCTCTACAGTGGACAAAACTCCATAGCTGGTAGTCAGGAGGATATTACTTTCTTCTTTCAGACGAATCCAATCGGAGTTACATTAAAAATTGTCCTGGCTATTCCAAGCGTTATTATTGTAGTAGGTGGGTGTTTCTCTTTAAAAGTCCAAAACACGTTAAATAAAGCGTGCACATCCATAATAAAACGTGCCTCACACGGCTCTGGGGCATGAATAAAGGCCTCCTGTAGCGATTCCATGCGTTTTTGTAAGAAAAATAATTTCAAATGTAATAAACACTTTTCTCTCACTTCTGCTGACTGTGGTAGGCGGAAGCCGTTCCGGCGGATGACATAGACCGTATGCGTCGCGCGAATGTCTCCTCTTGGCTTATATCAAAATCCTCCGACATTTTTCTTTACAAATACTCGTTTTGTGGTTCTAATTCATGACCGGCGTTTTGTTTTGTTCTCTCTCCGCGTTCGTCACTAATCACGCAACGCCGACATAGTTAAAGTCAACATGAAGCGGCGTTCGCATTTGACTTTCAAAACGTGCTGTATTTCCAAGCGAAACAGAATATTCAACAAGAGGCTTGATTTTATCCATCAAGAATTGATTGGATCGTGAGCAGTGGGCGTTAGATATCAGAAAGGAGCCAGACGTGGATGTGAGTTTGTGAGTTTGATTGGGTCCAGCTCTGTGTCCCACTCACTTCATCTGTTGCTGTAAACTCCAGCCTACACACTGACCGCTGCCTGCATCATCCCAGCCATTTAGGACGGATTTCAAAGACTGCAAACGACAGCCAGCTAAAGCCTATATGAGCCAGACCACGTCACTGACTGCCTTCACCATTCCAGTCGTTTAGGATGGATTTCAAAGACTGCAAACGACAGCCAGCTAGAGCCTATATGAGCCAGACCGCGTTACTGACTAGGCCTACTGCCTTCACCGTTCCAGTCGTTTAGGATGGATTTCAAAAGGCTATACATCAATGCAGGACTGCCAACTGCAGCCTACTGTATATCAGCCAGACGCTGCGCTGAACTCCCTGCATCACTCTAATAACACCAAATCATTTATTCATTGAATACGTGGCTATTATTACATATACTAGGCTATGCGTGATTTTGCTTATGCCATAAGTCAAGTTTGAAATAATGAAGTTATTTAATGTTTTTGGACTAAATCTCTCATGCTTACCAAGGTTGCATTTATTACAGTAAAAACAGGAATATTGTGAAATATTATTGCAATTTATTTGTTTTCTATGTGAATAGGCCCATATTTTAAAATTGTAATTTATTCCGGTGATCAAAGCTGTATTTTCAGCATCATTACTCCAGTCTTCAGTGTGACATGATCTTCAGAAATCATTCTAATACACTGATTATTATCAATATTGGAAAGAGTTTCGCTGCTTCATATTTTTTTGGAACCTGTGATACTTTTTTCAGGATGCTTTGATGAATAAAAAGTTAAAAAGAACAGCATTTATTCAAAATATAAATCGTTTCTAACAATATAAATCTTTGCTGTCACTTCTTAACAATTTAACAAATCCTTGCTGAATAAACGTTTTAATTTTAGAGAACACACCCATCACCATCGACAAGACACCTGTGGAGCGGGTAAACAGCTTTAAGTTCCTCGGCGTTCACATCAGTGAGGATCTCACATGGTCTACACACACTAATGCAGTGCTGAAGAAGGCACATCATGTGGGGGCGTGTTAGAACGAGCCGTTTTAGGTAGGCGCGGCTGACTCTTAACTTTTATAAAGAATATCTCTTTGGATTTGAGACTTTAGTCTTTGCAACTTTACAGATCTTCTTTATGCACCAAGAGCTCGTAACACTCCAAAGAGAAAGGAAAACTTGAAATCGCATCATATGACCCCTTTAATTAAAAGGACGCCTCCTAATTAATGCTGTTCAGTTGCTTTGACACAATCTGTATTGTTAAAAGCGCTATATAAATAAAGGTGACTTGACTTGACTTGACTTAATATTTTTGTGGAAACCATGATACATGATTCGTGATTCTTTGATGAATAGAAAGTTCAAAAGAGCATTTATTTGAAACAAAAATAATTTGTAACATTAAAAAGTCTTTACTATCACTTTTGATCAATTTAATGCATCCTTACATAAAATAATAATAACTATTATTATTATTTTTAAATATTACTTACCCCAAACTTTTAAATACTAGAGTATCACAGTTTCCACAAAAATATGAAGCAGCACAACTGTTTTCAACCTTGATAATAATCAGAAATGTTTCTTGCTTTGATCACCGGGTTAAAAAAAAGAGAGAGAGAGCTTTTAAACACTATTCAAAGAGAGAAGTTTTTTTTTTAATTGTAATAATATATAACTGTTTATAATAATAATATATTACTGTAATAATACATTAGTTTTTACTGTATTTTGATCAAATGAGCAGGAGAGTCTAAAAAATAGTAGTGTATGTTTATTTAATTAAGTATATATGATAAATGAGTCTCCTCTCAAGGTTTTTCCTCTCTTATGGGTCTCTCACTGGTTTAAGACATTTTATTTAAAGCTGTTTTGAGACATTATGGATTGAGAAAAGTGCTACACAAATAAAAACCACCGATGCACACTTTTTGAAATAGTGTTATTCTCGCTATTGCATATAACTACTGTTATTATTGCCATAACCTAAATATTGCCAAGATTTCAGAAAGGCTACAGCAATAGCCTAAATCAATGTCCAACTATTTATTTGGATATAAATTGATTTATTTTTTCTCTGCCCGTGTGACCCAAGTGACGTCAGCTGAAAAGAAAAATCGTTTGAAAGGTGGATCAAATCTTTGCATACATAAGATTATAAAGAGAAGTTATGTGTATAGAATAAGTAAACAGGGTCAGTTTTGATTTCTGGTTGATTTACAGTCACTTTAAAGTAACATGAACACTTCTCTTGATCCGCTGACTGTACAGTTTCTCCTGTTCATGTGCAATTCATGTTCTTTTGAAAGGTTATTGTATAATATAACCCATTAGTGCACAAACAGATCGTGTTTCATGCTTGGTCACAGTTTTTGTTTGGAGCTACTTGCTTTATCGAGCACATCATGGGGTCAAAACCAAAAAATGTTTAACCGATCCTGCACATGAAACCAGTGTCCTCTTGCATCCTATGAGACATTGCATGGTAGAAATCATGACAAAGAAGCACATGATAAAAACAGCACACTTATATTTTGCATAGGCTTTGATATTAGGGTTATAACAGCCAGACTGTAAGTGTGATGTTGGTTTCTCAGCTGCTGTAGATATTAGGCCCTTCGATGGGGTCAGGATCACATCGGAAAGGTCCACAGACAAACAGGTCTGAGCCGAGAAACCGGAGTGAAATCACACATCGGTCATTTCATCCTCCGTTTCGCCTTCAGCTTCCTCCTCATCCTCGGATGTCATATCTGCATCATCCATCTGGGACATGCACTTCTGACAGGAACAGACGAATAAGTAATTCTCCCTGAAAATGAGAGGGACGAAATGATTCAGACACAAATCACTATTCTGTCACTATTTACTCACACTCATGTCTTTACAAAACCGCATTAGCGTATATGTGACCCTGGAGCACAAAAGCAGTCTGAAGTCGCTGGGGTATATTTGTAGCAATAGCCAACAATACATTGTATGGGTCAAAATTATAGATTTTTCATTTATGCCAAAAATCATTAGGATATTAAGTAAAGATCATGTTCCATGAAGATATTTTGTAAATTTCATACCATAAATATATCAAAACGTAATTTTTGATTAGTAATATGCATTGCTAAGAACTTAATTTGGATAACTTTAAAGGCGATTTTCTCAATATTTAGATTTTTTTGCACCCTCAGATTCCAGATTTTCAAATAATTGTATCTCAGCCAAATATTGTCCTATCCTAACAAACCATACATCAATGGAAAGATTATTTATTCAGCTTTCAGATGATGCATAAATCTCAATTTCATAAAACTGACCCACATGACTGGTTTTGTGCTCCAAGGTCACATATGTTCAGTCAAACACGCATAAAAATGAAAGTGAGAATTGCTACGCTGCTCTTTTTTCCCCCAAGTCTTCTGAAGTCATACAACAGTTTGTGAAAGGAAAACTAGACGAGTAATAAGTAGCTACTGTCCCTCTCTGTCTAAATGCTTTAATAGTTGTTCTTTTGCCCTTTCAGGAACAAGAACTGTAAAGATTCTTCGAAAATAAAATAACCAAACAAACAGTGCTGGGTAGATCACTTGTATATTGTAATCGGTTACTGATTCCAAATTACATTAAAAAAATTGTAGTTAGTAACGTAATCCATTACATTACACATTTTAGGTAATATAATTAGATTACTATTTGATTACTTCTGACCTACCTCATTAATCACACTGATTTAAATAGGATAAGCAATACCTTATTGATATAAAAATACATAGAGAATGAAAATATTCCATTCATTGTTATTCACAACATGAAGTGCATTAAACATTACATTACGTCAAAGTCTCCCAAACTGGGGTTCATGAAGAAACGAGTTTAATGAAAAGCTAATGGTTAATTAAATCATAAACATTGTAAAATTGAAATAAGTCATTTTAAAACAACAACAATCAAAATAAAGAACTTACTAAAAAAGATTAAATATTTTATTTGTTCACCTGCATGTCATTATGTTAATATGTGTTTAACCGGAGTCAGAGAAATGTGAACATGTAACTGTGTTAAATAATTAACGTGTTGCCTTAAAATCTCAGGGGGACTTGTTTGATTACGAGTATTTTAAAGTTTATATATAGAGTATATAATCAAATTAAAAGTACTTAATTTTTTTGAATCTGATTATGTAATCCAGATTACATGTAATCATTTACTACTCGGCACTGTAAGTAAATAAATAAAACTTATAAACATCCAAATAAAAGGGTTTGGATGCTGAATATAAAAAAAAAAGAAAAAAAAAAATCTTTCAGACTCAAGTGTTCGGTCCATTAGGGCTTCCGATCTACTCTTATTCTCTAACAAGTGAAGATAAACAATATCCATCAGATCCAAGGGGGGTCCGTCTCTGATCTCGACTTTTCAAGGTGAAGTCAGGCTTTACAGAGGAATAAAGTGAATATAGATTAAGTGGGGTTTCCGAGCAAACCCTCATTGGTCATCATAGCTGCTGCGATTGACAGGTAAGTGATCAATAGCGGAGCAGGGGCCCAGCAGCAAGCTAGCGGAGGGCCCCTGTGGTTATCCAGGCCCAGAGCTGCTGCCAGGGGACGAGGGCATTGATCTTCTCTGGAGGTAGACTCAGCTCTGCTTAAACAAGGGATTGCATTGGTTTACCTCAAGATCTTGTGCCGGCTATGACGACTCCTGTCTCGCTGGCAGCAGTCCAGGTAGCTGATACAGATCTCCTGCAGAGAGGAGGAGAGAAATACATGGGACAATCAGCACTGAAGCAGTTATATGATGAATTGGGGGAATTAAGTTATACAGAAATAATCAGAAAAGGCTTTCCAACGGTTTTCCGTTTTATAAATTGGCCAGAATCGTGAAAGCAATCTGTGGGTCTGACAGCCTTCCTAATGTTTGTCAGTGGTCTTACTGATTTCCAACGCAAAGTATAACATTTTTCTCAGTAAAGTCAGTAAACATTTCATTTTTCCAGATGCTCGCTAACTAGTTCGGTCACTTGCAGACCACAGTTGAAATCATTATTCATACAATTCATTTATTCCTGTCCTTTCTGACAGACCTTCACACACAATCACTGTATAGAAATACACTCGTGTTGTTTCTGAAAGAAGTCCCTTATGCATTTAAAAATACAGTAAAAACTGTAAAATTGTGAAATATTGCTACAATTCAAAATTTCTAAGTGAATATCTTAAAATGTAATTTATTTCTGTGATGCAAAGCTGAATTTTCAGCATAATTTCTCCAGTCTTCAGTGTCACATGATCTTCAGAAATCATTCTAATATGCTGATTTGCTGCTCAAGAAACATTTCTGATTATTATCAGTGTTGAAAACAGTCGTGCAGCTTCATATCTTTGTGAAAAATGTGATGCATTTAATTTTTTGGAATTCTCTGATGAATAGGAAGTTCAAAAGAACAGCATTTATTTGAAACAGAAATCTTTTGTAACGTTATAAACGCCTTTAATGATCACTTTAATGCATTCTCACTAAATAAAAGTATTACTTCCTTGAACTTTTGAATGGTGTATCTGCATTTGTGTCCAAAAAAATAAAAAAAAATTAAAATCACACCGGTTTTTAATGGCATTCCAACTTTTCTCCATTTAATTCTACTTCCTTGCAATTCCACATCCTGTTTGCTACCTCACCTCAAAACAAATTCAGGAACTGAAAAGGCTTTCTCAATTCAGTTCTCATTAACACACAACTCTGCAAAACATAATAGTAAATGGTCAATATGCAATAAATCTGGCATTAGATAACCTTACAAAAATGCATTACGCTCTCTTTGTTGTGAATTCGGAGCTGAAAGCTATTACGAATTCCCGATAAGTTGTCATCCACTGGCTAATATGATTCAGATAAACAAACCTATGAAATAAGTCTGTGTGATGTGAACAGCAGGCAGATGCTGGCCTTTTCAATCTATCCGACAAGCTGCCAAAACCGCTCCCATCTTCAGCCTCTAGACTGTGATTCCTACCGACAATGAAACACTCAAGGCTTTCGAAGGCATTACGAGCCCCAGCTTAGCATCTATTATCCAACATGCTCGTCTGACCTCTCCGGGGCTGATGTCGCTGAGGGCGCCGAGGTGGAGGAGGAAGTTGTTGTCGGGGAAAGACGCCTCTGCATTGGGAACGCAGCTGTGGTTACCTGTGCAACACAGGAAACCCTCATAAATCTTCACGTCTGTTTTTGCGGTGCAAGAGGACAGGCCTCATTTGTTAAGCTGACCTGATTTCCGCGACTCAAAGTCAACTTGCATGTAAAAATGAAAACATCACAGCTGTGCAAACTGAAAGACGTGCCAATACGCATGAAGACGGTTCTCACAAGAGCTCTGCAGCAGGAAAAGACCGGAGCCCTCGCAGTTGAGGAAATCGCCAGTTTCTGCAAAAGAAAAACAATCTATGAACGCCTTTCATCTCTGGTATTTATTTCACACTTTTGCACAAAACAATCATATTTTACACAGATCGAAGGCCGCCTAAGTGGTAAAATGTGTGTCTCTGTCTCAGCCGTGCTCGAGGAGCCAGATGTCGAACGCAGGCATGGATTCAATCGTGGCAGGTATACAGATCAATGTGTGAGGGGCCGAGCTCTATGAACAGGTGGGAGTCTGTGAAAAATGACCTGTGTCGATGTCCTTGTACAGCTGGTCGATGAAAGCGTCCAGTTGCTCCCTCTGCTGGCTGGGAAGCTCCAGCGCGTCGCACGCATGAACCCACTGACTCAGAGAACTACACACACACACACACACACACATCAGATCAGAGGAGTATTATTCCACTGCACACTCGTCTATGGTAAAATAAAGTGATTGTTTGCACTGAGCGGATATTACCTGGTGCCAATACCCTGACCATTGGTCCCAACAAGTGAAAATAGAGAGCGAAAACCGTCTGGGGTGAACCACTATAACAAAGAACAGACTCGTTTAACATTTAATCATTTAGCAGACGCTTTTATCCAAAGCGACTTACAAAATAAAAGCAATCAGACCAACAAGAGAGTAACAATATGTGACCCTGGAGCACAAAAATGCTCCAGAGTCACAAATATAAGTGCTGTGACAAGTCTCAGTTAGTCTATCACGGTGCACATAGCAAGACCAAAATAGAATAGAATAGGTAAGTGCTAGTATTAATTGGTCAGGTGATGGCGAAAAAGATGTGTCTTGAGATGTTTTTTGAAAAGGGCTAATGACTCAGCTGCTCGTTCCACCAGCTGGTTTTATTAATTTGTTTTCATTTACACTCTATTACACTCTTCAGGTGTCACATGGGTGAAAAGTAATTTTCTATATACTAGTATTTTAGTATTTAACCAGATTCAAGCCTACTTGACCAATTAACAGGTGTTAACTCCCCCTAGTGTCAGTTACCGGTATCAAACCTTGTCAATAAATTTGATCATTTTCTTTTTTTTTTTTCAGATATTGTATTGGAAGAAAATCTAAAATACCCTTTCAAATGTTGGGTTCAGTCAGTTTTTTTTTTGGTAACATTTTACAATAAGGTCCCATTAGTTAATGCATTAACTAACATTAACTAACAATCAGCAATACATGTGTTACTGTATTTATCAATCTTTGTTAACATTAGTTAATAAAAAATACCACTGTATAGTGTTAGTCCATGTCAGCTCAGGTCCATTAAATAATATAAAATATACAAAAAGATACAACTTTTGACCTTAATAATGTATTAGTAAATGCTGAAATGAACGAAGATGAATACATGCTTTAGAAGTATTTTTCATTGTTAGTTCATTTTAACTAATACAAATGGAACCTTATTGTAACATGTTACCGTTTTTTTTAAGAAATGAATTCTAAAAGTGACAGTAAAGAAATGTATTTGGTACAAATAAAAAAAACAAAGAAAAATGATATTCAAAGAATCCTGAAAAAAAAAAACAATGTCACATTTTTCACAAATACATTTTTTTTTTTTTTAAATATACAAAATAGGAAGTGTTTCTTGAGCAGCAAATCAGAATGATTTCTGAAGATCATGTGACACTGAAGTGCACAGTAATGATGCTGAAAATCAGCTTTGAAACACAGGAATCAAATACAGTTTAACATATAATCAAACAGAACATTTGTGTAATAACATTTCACAATATTATGTTTTTGCTATATTTTTGATCAAATAAATGCAACCTTGTTAAAAAACAAAAATGTTAAAATCTTACCAACTCAAATTTTTTAACAGTAATGCATGTTCATTCAACTTTCATATGACACTTTTGCTTATTAATGAAATCATTAAAGACAAAGTGTCAGTGATACAGAAAGACAGACAGATAAATGTGAGTCTGACCTGACTGAGACCATCCTCGTACAGCGCTGTAGTAAAGAGATCACGCAGCAAGGCCAGCTGGCCTTATATTATATATAAATATATAAACATACAATTTTTCTTAAATATATATACATGCGTGTGTGTTTATACATGCATAATAAATATACACAGTACACACACATATGTGACCCTGGACTACAAAACTAGTCCTAAGGGTCAATTTTTCAAAATCTGAAAGCTGAATAAATAAGCTTTCCATTGATGTATGTGCTGTAGTAAAGAGATCACGCAGCAAGGCCAGCTGGCCCTGAAATAAAAACAACACTGTCTTTTAGTGCACTTTTAAGATGTGAATCAATATTCTGCATAGTAGAAATCATTGATTTGTCACTACAGTAAGAATGAAGAGTGAAGGCAAAAACGATGGACCATCCTCGTACAGCGCTGTAGTAAAGAGATCACGCAGCAAGGCCAGCTGGCCCTGAAATAAAAACAACAGTCTTTTAGTGCACTTTTAAGATGTGAATCAATATTCTGCATAGTAGAAATCATTGATTTGTCACTACAGTAAGAATGAAGAGTGAAGGCAAAAACGATGGCATTTACCTGAAACTTCTCTCCCAACAATTTATGAACTATTTCCTCCTCTTCGTTTGCTGTACGGCTACAAAAATGAGAGAACAGCCTCTGCCAGCGTCCCTTATTTTGAGCCTGGAACAGCAACAAAACAAGCCGATACCAGTTACTTCACACTTACTGTACTTATGGAAGCCTGTTTCCACCACTGAATACAAAATAAAAAATGTCTCTCAATTCTGACTTCTTTTATCAGAATTGTGAGATATTCACTTGCAATTGCGAGTTATAAAGTCCAATTCTGAGTGAAAATGTACTATTTTCTTACAATTGTGGGTTTATATCTACATTTTTATTTCTATTCAATGGCAAAAACAAGCTTCCATACTTACTACAAAATTAATTTATGTAAACAATCCTCTTATTTAGACCAATAATAAACAGAAAATAACCTGCTTGATGGTGGCCACCATCCTTGCCATTATCATGATACTGGAAGTTTCCGGAGGGTAATGCACACTCCTGAATAATATGCAAAAATGAGTTTAACTCAAAAGCAGACTTCAATTAAGCATTTACTTCAAGGCCTTTGCACTAGCAGCCTTCAAACCCCAACAATCAAGCAACCGCAACACTTCTCCAGTGTTCTGCATAGAGAACAATTCACATCACGATTATAGTGACCAAAATGATCATGGTTATCAGTATTATCACGGTGTTATTAAAATGTGCTGCTGAAATCATTTCACCTAATGATCTTTACTTAATATCCTAATGATTTTTGGCATAAATGACAAATTCAATCATTTTGACCCACACATTGTATTGTTTGGCTATTGCTACAAATATACCCCAGCGACTTAAGACTGCTTTTGTGCTCCAGGGTCACATATATTATGCGCAACACTTCTCCAGTGTTCTGCATAGAGAACAATTCACATCACGATTATAGTGACCAAAATGATCATGGTTATCAGTATTATCACGGTGTTATTAAAATGTGCTGCTGAAATCATTTCACCTAACAACAAACACAATTAGCAGCACTATGCCCTTTTTGTTTAAATAAACATTAAAATAATAACATTAAACATGACAGTCAGATTTTAAATAAATAAACAATATTAGTTGGGCGACTCGGAAGATAACATTCTCTACTAATACATACTACATGATCAATTAAGATTTTGACTAAAAAAAAAGTTTTATAAAATGATATACCTCGCATTTAAGCCTTTAAATCGTTTTAAAGAAAAGAATGAATCAAAATGATCAATTATAGGCATTTTATCTGCTTCATCATGAACAGTTGTACAGAGGCTACCTTATTATCTGAAGTGTTCAGACTTTTAGAAAGCACATTATCTTGTTTTCCATCTACAGGTTAAGATTTGCAACTAAAATTTGGTCGCAACACAAACAGTAGACAGACTGAATGAAAACGTAACTCCACTGTCTGACAGCAGGTGGCGCTTATGGAAGAGCAGAAATAGAGCGGTTTCCACAGTAACCTCTGTAAACAAAGCAGCGCTGCGCTTATAAACCCTACTTTATCAGGCTTTACACAGAGGGAAGATGAAAAGCACATGTCAGCAGAACTTTTCTGCAGACAGTCAGTTCCCCCTTTATGTATTAATAAAAAATGTATTCATGCATTTATAATTGAATATATGATTTTTCTCAGCACTCTGCCTTCTGTCATATTTTCACACTAGACGAAACCTACAATGCATGTCGACTAACTTTCTATTTATCTCGCGTTTTTCAGATTGCAATAATACGGTTTTTAATGATCATTATTAGTGCTATAAAACAGAGCAAATAAAGTGTAATGTTATTAACAAAAACATTATTCTTCCACCAAACAATGTAGTTCCTCAGAATCACTTGTGGTTGCAACAAAGTGGTTGTCGAGCAACAGACAAACGTAAACAAAGGTGTATGTTTTTAGAGTAATTTACAACAGCTTTGCAAGTGGCTCAGCCAATCAGAATCAAGGACCGGAACTCTCCGTTTTATAAAGTTACTTTTTACATTCCAACCTTCAAAGTACATATTTTGCAGGTCATCGTGACTTAAGAACATCCTTGTGTTTTTTTTTTAAAGTTTTACATTAAAAACCCAATGAAATTGCTTTTCAGTGCACAATGTGATTGGTCAGAGTTATGCTCAGCTAAAGCAAAAAGTTTTAACCCTATAAAGCCTACAATATCATATCTGGTATTTATTATTTATTTATTCACTTTTTAACGCCATGTTAACATCAAGGCTATTTTCATGGCGATCTCTGAATAAATTATACAAGGTATACAATTAACAAAAGGTTCTAAAAGACATTTCAGATGTACACTAGACGAAAATTCTAAAATACATTCAGGTGATACATTTTTAAATAAATCAGTTAGACACACCTCTGAATAAAACCGTTGCCTATTTACATTAAAAACCGTACAATCCAATAAAATATGTTTCACAGTCATTTTATCATATCTGGTATCTTATCTTTAATATCAGCATATCTTAGCACTGAAGCTGGGGTCTGACACTCCTATAGAACCAGCTTTATCCATATATTACCCATATTCTGGATATGTATTCATTTATGCATTATCTTCATTTGTATTTAATTATATATCTGTTAATATATTACTGTGTTTCTGGTATTGTAATTTCCAAGGCCTCTAGATTATTATTAGTAATATTTACCGGACTGAAGCACATTTAGTTTACTTGATAATCTGTGCATGCATACATATTTTATATTAAAAAAACATGTTAAATTGCAACATCAAATTAACTATGCTCACCAGGCTTTTGAGGAACATTTCATGTACATCTCTGAATAATCATTGTATTGCACTGCATTATATGTTACCCCCACAATAAAAACTACAGAGCTTTGACCATCAAACTAAGCCTTTAAAAATGATCTTATTAAGACATATTACTTACTAAGAGATATAGAGCGACTACTGATATTTATATGCATTTTATGTAAGTAGCTGCTATAGCCTACTGTTATAAAGATTTCACTGATTTACATTACAAGCTATCAAAAATCTTACTTTTAGACCACATACGTAAATATCAGCATCTGCACCAAATTGCAGATTTTTGCTCAGTTTGGGCCTCTGAATAAAACTGAGGCGGTTTTATTTTTTTCTCCAATATGAGCTCCATAATCACACTATATCAAACTGTATGAGCCATAAAAGCCTGGCGTACAAACATGATACAAAACATGAAACACATCTACAAACTTTGTAATATTTTGTCTAGAGGTTCAAAAACAGTTCAATTAAAATAAAATAAAAACTTTTCTGACAATTATTTCATGTCAGGATTAACAGGGTTATTAATATCATAGTCTGTTTGTTTGTTCATAATGACAACATTTTCCATAAAAAAAACAACATTTTTAATTATTTTAATGTCTACAAGAGCAAGAATGTGCAGATTACATTCTGAACAACAGATATTAAGAGAAATGTTCATAATCGGTGTGGGGCTGTGTGATATGACGATATATAATGGATGGATGAAATAAAAAGTCTAGCCTTTCATATTATGCTTTATCGTTTATTTCGTGGTGTCGCAAAATACATTGTTTAGGGTAATAGTTTTTCATCATTTGGATGACTGCGATCTTTCCACGCCACCACGGGCCGTGAAGCGGAGACAGAAACAGGTGCAGAACGAGCAGCCAGGACAAAACAAGGAGCTCGTTTCTAAACGAGGGACTACATCTGTAGCATGGACATGCGTTTTTAAGCTGTTGAAACACAAACAACAGAGCTATATGTGTGCGCCGTCTCTGTTTCTGTGTGAGAGGAGCGCGCATTTTTTTGCACTTTATTGGCTTTGAAAGATTACATAAACACACTTATATGCGTCAGAATCCCCGTCTTTGCAAGTATCTTCATAAACACAGTGATTTAGGTCTTAAGAGAGAGTAAACAGCTGAAAAAGAAAACGCATATGTAACAATATATTGGATCCGGACTTCGGTCTTAAAGGGGAAGATGTCCAATATTCGTCCTGTCTGCCATTCATATTAATTAAACAACAGTGAGAGAAAATCTCTCGCTGCTCTTGACTAAATCACTTTTGTAACTTTAACTTTAAAAAATAATAATGATAATTTATATTTATATATATATATAGTATCTCACAGAAGTGAGTACACCCCTCACATTTTTGTAAATATTTTATTATATCTTTTCATGTGACAACACTGAAGAAATGACACTTTGCTACAATGTAAAGTAGTGAGTGTACAGCTTGTATAAAAGTGTAAATTTGCTGTCCCCTCAAAATAACTCAACACACAGCCATTAATGTCTAAACCGCTGGCCACAAAAGTGAGTACACCCCTAAGTGAAAATGTCCAAATTGGGCCCAAAGTGTCAATATTTTGTGTGGCCACCATTTTGTTCCCACCACCATGCTTGACCAATTTGATGCAGTGTGCGGTGTATGGTCTGAGCACTGACAGGCTGACCCCCCACCCCTTCAACCTCTGCAGCAATGCTGGCAGCACTCATACGTCTATTTCCCAAACACAACCTCTGGATATGACGCTGAGCATAATTAATTTACACAATGTATGTAGCGTTTCTTATTTATTGTAGTTTTTTGTCCTATTGCTTGCAATTAGTATCTTATCCTTATTTTATCACTGACTGTTTATCTTCAGTGAGCTTGAGGTTGTTTTTTTTTTATTTATTTTTTAGTCTTGTATTAGTTTGATATTGACATTGGTGACAAGGGATTATGAAAATTCTATGGTATCACAGATTTTAATATCATAAAAACCTTTTTAAAAGAAAAAAAAATAACTATATCGTGATATATATCGTTATCATGATATAAAATGACTCATATCGTGATATAAGATTTTGGTCACATCGCCCACCCCTAAATCAGTGTAGTCAATCAACAGCAGTAACCAGATTATGAAGTGACGGCTGAATCAAACACTAGATAACATCGAGACTAACAGAGGAACAGATTAAGCTCATGTGTACCTGACAGTGTGGACAGGCCTGGTGTCGATCCGGACGCACTTTACACAGCTCCGGCTGAGGCAGACCGAGAGCCGGCAGACCGCTCAAGCGCCTGGCGTTCTCCTCCGCTGTCTCCAGAGCACGCAGACAGTACTCGCACGCTGAACACGGGGAGAAGATGACATAAACACATCACACAATACATGTACAACTCAAATAAAAATGTTAAAGATTATGAAATGCATAATGTACACTGCCATTCAAAAGTTTGGGATCAGTATGATTTTTAATGTTTCGTATGCTCATCAAGGCTGTATTTATTTGATCAAAAATACAGAAAAAAACTATAATATTGTGAAATATTTTTGCAATTTAAAATAACAGTTTTCTATTTGAATATATTGTAAAATGTAATTTATTCCTGTGATCAAAGCTGAATTTTCATCAGCCATTACTCCAGTCTTCAGTGTCACATGATCCTTCAGAAATCATTCTGATGATTTATTAACAATATGCTGATTTATTATTAATGTTGGAAACGGTTGTGCTGCTTAATATTTTTTGGAAACCGTGATACTGAAGAAAAGCATTTAATAATTTAATAATAATTTATGCATTTAGCAGACGCTTTTATCCAAAGCGACTTACAGTGCATTCAGGCTATACATTTTTTATAAGCATTTATTCAAAATAGAAATATTTTCTAACAACACATGTCTATACTATCACTTTTTACCAATTTAACACATCCTTGCTGAGAAAATAACAATTTCTTTCTTTCAAAAACAAATAAATAAATAAATTACTTACCCCAATCTACAGATTACTGAATAAACGGTAGTGTGTATTGTTACAAAAGATTTATATTTTAAATAAATGCTGTTATTTTTACCTTCATATTCATCAAAGAATCCTGAAAAAAAGTATCGCAGTTTCCAACAAATATTAAGCAGCACAACTTTTCCAACATTTATTATAAATCAGCATATTAGAATGATTTCTGAAGGCTGGAGTAATGATACTGGAAACTCAGCTTTGATCACAGAAATAAATTACAGTTCAAAGTATATTAAAATCAAAAACTGTTATTTTAAATTGCATTAATATTTCATAATATTACTAGTTTTTTTCTGTATTTTTGATCACATAAATGCAGCTTTGAAAAAACATTAAAAACATTATAAATCCTACTGATCCCAAACTTTTGAAACAATTCTGGCATCCCAGGGTCTCCAAGTGACGCATAAATAAATAACATATTCTATTCTCACAAAGATATGATCAAGAACATCTGTATGAATGATAAGAATCTATGCACTCACCTCTGTATTTGTACAAGGCATTCCACAAGAACTGAGATGACACTAGAGGTTGCTCAATAAAAATGGTGCCACCCTTTTTTAAGGGTTTTTTCGCGAATAATCCTTTGCCCTGAGGAGAAATAATTCAATAATCATAAAATAATATATTAACGTTTGCTGTCTGAAGCGCGAGATGGGAGAAACCTATTTAAAGCTACACGTCCTTATACATGTCTCCACTTTAGAGAACATGCATGTGATTATTTGTCACAGTCTGCATATTCTGGATCGTCTACATTTCTTTGATCAGCAGGTTCTGGCATCAGATGAGAATAAGCCGGCTGATCTGATCTGGGAGGCTAAACCGCTAAATAACAACACTATATAACTACATTATATGAGGAGGACGCGTCTCTGTCATGGGTTAACTGTTGCACACCTTGACATTATCGATAAATCGGACCTCCACGCAATTACTGGCTTTGGCAGGATCCACGCAGCGAGAAAACATGTCATGTATGGGCGCCGCCATGTTGTATATTTACATATCAACCTTTAACCTCTCGGATTGACCAATAGTGTACATGGGATAAATCTGCTTTCTCTGCCAACGCTCGGCTGCGTAAAAAATATATTTATTCTGGAATGAAAATATCGGTGCTGTATGCTATAACCATAAATGCTACGCTGAGAATGTTTATTCTGGTAAAAACATAAAATGTGGCACCGGAATGCGGGGCAACTAGTGACGTCCGATTCGTGAATGAATCGTTCTTCTGAGTCGACTCTTTTGACTCGGGGGCAATTATTGAAAAGCAGAATTGTTACAAATTTAACATAACAGAAGTGTGTTAACAACTTGAATATGCCAGTTATAAACAAACCATGCGAGTTGGTTTTAATGAGTTTCGCTTTATTAACACTATATTTAGGTTCTACTTTATTTTAGGCCTATATTTTTCGAGCTGAATCATGGCTGAACTGGAATGTTACAATAAACAACATTATAAATTCAACTTTGGAATGTTTTAGAGCACGTCTGCATTCACAGATTAATATAGCGTGATTTTTCTCACACTGTACACCGATAAGCACTGTGTTTTGCATTATAGTAAGTGGTGGGTTTAGGGTTTTGGGGCAATAGGTAGAAAATGTAATTTATTGTTAGCCTCTGGTATTTGCATCCCTTCTAGCCGCAACCCTAAATAGCTTTCTGCTAACTCTCTGTGGCCTATATATAATTCATCTTCACAAATGTAAAGTTACTGATTGTATGCCTAATTGTAGGATTTTTTTTTGTATTGATCAGAAACTATTTTCTGAATCTCTCTGCTCGTCACTTAATAAGAAAGCTGCTAAAACAACTCTATTGATGGAGAAAAATAATGAGTTCGATGTAAGTTATTCTTTGAAGCTGGCATTCTTATGTGTAATTATTTATCCTAGTTTAATTTTTTTTTAAAGATTTTTATGTTAAGTTTTATCGATTTGTTTTTCTGTTTATATTTCTTTTAATGTATTATTTATTTTTTGGCCTGATTATTTTAGTGGAATATTGTTGTGTTTTGTATTCTGGTTGTGTATGTAACATGTAAACTTCTTTCACCTAAAATATGAGTCCTCTATCCATTGTTTTGTTTTCTCTAGTGGAAAAAAAAGACTTTAACTGATGGACTGGAGTGGTGTGGATTATTGTGATGTTTTTATCAGCTCTCATTCTGACGGCACCCATTCACATCCATTGGTGAGCAAGTGATGCAATACTACATTTCTCCAAATCTGATAAAGAAACAAACTCATCTATATTTTGGATGGCCTGAGGTTGAGTACATTTTCAACCTATGTATTTTATTGCTTTGCATCAACCTGAGTCACACATTGTTATTTTAAACAATATTTCTGTTGTATGTATCCCCTGTGAATGTAATGTGCTAAAAAAATAAAAAAAAAACCTAAATAGTTTTTATTTGGGTCTTTAAAAAAAATGGTTATTTGAAACGAATTGTTCGAAAGAACCGACTCGCCGAAAAAGAGTCAGTTTACGTCACTGCTGGTAGCCAATCAACGATCAGCGTCCTCCCGATAGCCAATCAGCGCTCAGTCCACTCTCTTGAATTCTCTCCAGCGGGTCGTCGTGTGTTTTTGGTAGAGATAAGAGTGAGAAAATTCCCAAAAAGTTTCAAGAGTGCGCCTAACTGGCCAACCGTCACTAAATAACACGATACAGCGTGTGTACACGTTTTAGTTTTACCGTGGAATTGACAGCTCTTGTTGGAAATGTTGTTAGCGGAAGTGAAAAGGCTGAAAGTGGCCGAGTTGCGTGCCATGTTAACGGAGCGAGGACTGGACTCCAGAGGCCTGAAGGCCGAGCTGGTGGTTCGGCTGATCTCTGCGATCGAAGCCGGCGTTGAACCCATCAAAAGTGCAGATGAGGGGCGAAATGGTAGTGAAACGAAGAGTGAAGAGCCGCAGAAGACTCACTCCCCGGAATCCGAGCAGTGCGTTAGGACGCGGTCTCCAGTGTGCATCGGTCCTCCTAAAAAGAGCATGACTGCTTATACTGACCAAAGTACACAGACTGACCCACTTCAGCTGTGCTCATGCACTGCCCCAATAGCCATCGCGAAGGCCGCTATATCTGGAGAGGAGAGACAACAGCAGGCGTATCCACAGCATCCAGCCGCGAATCTGCATCCTGTCGCCTTGGCAACCGCTGCTACGGAAGATGCGGAGTCAGGATGCTCATCATCAGTCTTGGCCATTTCAGAGCCAGAGGCAGCACAGCAGCAAGAGCAGTGTAAGTCACCCTTAGAGCACAATTAATAAAGTGTTTCATGGCTGATCATATACTAAAAGTAAAGTAAGATGATTATATGATGACTCCTGCAGTGCTCCGTAGACTGTCAGATGGACCTGAGACAGTGGACTCCACCCCAGACGAGAGCAGGGAGCTCAAGAGGCCTGTGGAGGAGAGAGGCAGAGATTATTACGAGTTCAAAGAGGACATTCATTACAACAGGTATTGATTATCGGTCTGTAGGAACTGCAAGAGCTTGCACTTAAAGGTATTTCAAAGAACGTGGATGTCATTTCCAGAACACTTTTCCACAGAAGGAAATTGCTTATGCTCACCAAGACTGCATTTCTTGGTAAAATTCCGAAATATTATTGCAATTTAAAGGATCTGGTTTCTATTTGAATATATTTTTTAATATAATTTATTCATGTGATGCAAAGCTGAATTTTCAGCATCATTACTCCAGTCTCCAGTGTCACATGATCTTCAGAAATCATCCTAAAATGCTGATGTGCCGCTCAAGGAGAACATTTCTGATTATTATTAATGTTGAAATTCATCTTTGATGAATAAAAAGGTCAAAAGAACAGCATTTATATGAAAAATAAATATTTTTGTAATCTGGATTATGTAATCAGATTGAAAAAATGAAGTACTTGTAATTAGATCATATTACATATTAGATTAGATTATTTTAATATCAGATTACAGTTAATTTACTCCTTGTTGTTTTCTCTTTTTATCAGTTTGATATAATCCCACATGCAAGTCTACGTGATAAACAAGTTAGGTCAAAAGCATTTAAAAAGTAGTCACCTAATGTGTAATAACTACAATTCTATCACGTAATTTGTAATCAGCAACAGACTACAATCTCTAAGCAATCTACCCACTCTTATATAACTAAATTTAATGCGTCCTTGCTGAATGAATAAGTCCTACTGACCCTAAACAGATCTTGCAAAACAGAGTTGAACCTTTCTGACTTTTTCTCCCTGATTTGTTTGTCCTCAGAGCTAAAACACCAGAGCTGCTGCCGGAGCCCGAGGAAGAAGCTGAAATAGATTTTGAAGATGTTCGACTGGATTCCTGTAAGTTCATCACGACCCCAGTACATCTTCAGATACCGAATGAGTCATTGAGATGAGCCTGTCCTCAGAAACACTGTGTTTGTGTTTCACAGATAGCTGTGACCTGCATTTTGAGGTGGACTCTGATGGGAGCAGCGGTCAGCCGCTCTTCTGGGAGACGTTCCCTCTGCTTTGGTCGGGGTGCAGGATGAGCCATGGATTTTGTCAAGGGAAGGTCGGATTCGAAGCCAAGGTGTGAACTTGAGTTTTGAGTTTTGTACAAATTAAATGGCACCTTTGGTGAATTATTATTTCTTTTTTGGGGTCTCCAGTTTGTGAAGCGACTGTCAGCTCCTGCATTAGACACAAGCTGTGACCCGGATCGACATGTGCTCAGAGTGGGCTGGTCTGTGGACAACACAAGCCTTCAGCTAGGTGAGAATAACATTATGAAATAAAACATATGACTATGACATTACGTAATAAAACATAGAGATGATAGAAATAAAAAAAAAGGTATACATTAGGCATAACATAGCTAGAAGACTAACATTTCTTCGAAATGTAAATTAATTAAAAAAAAATTTTTTTTTAATGTTTTTTGAAAAACTCATTTAATCAATGTTATCAAATTAAAAACTAATTTTTCTTGCTCTTGTTTTCTCAGGTGAGGTGGAGCTGTCGTATGGTTTTGATGGACGGGGGAGGATCGTAACTGGAGCAAAGGAAGAGGCGTTCGGTGAGCCTTTCACGGAAGGAGATGTCATCGGTTGCTATGCAGTAAGTTTCAAAAGTAATTGTACAGAAGCGGGTTAAAGGGGTCATAGGATGCTACATGCACTTTTACATGTTGTTTGAACTGAAATGTGTGTTGGCAGTGTGTGTACAGACGCAGAGGATTATGTTTGTTTCTGAAGGGAATGCTCCCCGATGCGTCTTATGTTCGCGCAAATCATTCATGATCCAGCTTCACCTACAGAAGAAGTGAGTGTAAGGTTTTTTTAACTACAAAACTGCTTGCTCTGAAAAGAGCTGTTTTTGACCGGGTAAAAAAGGTGTTTTTTACACTACCATTGAGAAATTTTAACCAAACTATGTTACAGACTTTTCATTAAGACCCTAAAGAATCATATCAACTTGTGGAAAACGGGCATCCCATGACCCCTTTAAAGTATGCATACTAATGCTTAAAGGAATAGTTCACGCAAAAATTAAAATGTGCTAAAAATGTACTCGCCTTCAAGCCATCCGAGATGTAGATGAGTTTGTTTCTTCATCAGATTTGGAGAAATGTAGCATCACACCAATGGATGCTCTGCAGTGAATGGGTGCCGTCAGAACGAGAGTCCAAACAGCTGATAAAAACACCACAAGTAATCCACACCACTCCAGTCCATCAGTTAACGTCTCGTGAAGTGAAAATGGGTTTATATGAAACAAATCAATCATTTAGACATTTTAACTTTATACTTTCACTTCTGGTCAAAATATGAGTCCATAATCCATAATAAGGCTTCCTCCAGTGAAAAAGTGCATCTTTTGCTGTCTCTCACATCAAAATCCACCCACATGGTTGTTTAGAGCTGTTTAAACGCTGCTTGATCTGTGCAGATTCCTCTCCTGATTCACACCAGATGAGTTTTTCACTGGAGGAAGTGTTATTATGGATAGAGGACTCATATTTTTTAGCAATTAGCAACGGTTTGAAGTTAAAAACATGTTGATGA